AAGGTGCCATAGCACTTTCAAAGCAGCAGCAGCGAGGCACAGAGTAGGCAGAGCCCAGCTCACAGCTGCAGCCCATCCTTGCCCCATGCAAAGATCAGGGGGCCAAGTGCCCCTCTCCCCTTGGCTCCCCAGTGCCACACCTCTGGAGGATCCATCAGGCTCCAGTTGTCCCACAGCCCAGCCTAGCTGGGGCCCCATTCACCATGAATGGTGCCCCAGCCAGGTCATGAGGCAATCAGAGCCCAACAGATTATCCCAGGGCGTGGCGTGGGGGAGTCAAGGGGGGGAACATACCCCGCCTTGGCTCTCCCGTGGCATGCACAGCAGTAGGAGCCACCCACCCATGCCCCTGGAGGAGCCACCAGGCTCCAACTGCCCCACAACACAGCCTGGCTGGGGCCCCATACACTGTGAATAGGGCCCCAGATGGACTGGGTCATGGGACAAACCCCACAGTGCTGCAGGGAGCAGGGCAGGGCTGAATGATTTGCTTCTGCCCCTGCCCCTGCCCCTACCACATTCCATCCTGCACTGTGGGGGTCTCAATCTTCCCCCACCCCCCAAGCCCAGGCATTCATAAAGAAAGGAGACAAAGAATCTTACCTGCCTGCTGAGCCGGCTGCGATCCTCAGGGTATATGAGTTTGCATGCTCCTCCCCTGTGCTGCAGCAGCCTGCAGCTGAGAGGCCCTCTGGCCATACCTGCTGCCCTGCTTTTGACGGGACTGAGCCCTACTAGCTCCCCACTTCTGCTGCTTATGATTGACAGCCTTATTTGGGGTTGAGAACTGCAGGAAGCATCCGGGAGGCAGTGGGATTCCCCTTCTTTGCAATCCAAAGCAGCCCTTGGCACTAAAGCACCATGTGCTTCCCCATGGAGGGATCTGGCATGGTTTGGCGTCGGGCTGGGGTCAGACTCCCCAACACACACACACACACACACACTCTCTCTCTCTCTCTCTCTCTCTCTCTCTCTCTCTCTCTGCACCCACCATAAGCAGTATCCTGCCTGCCCTGTGACCTGACAGTTGGGAGGGAGGGCAAGATCAGGCTCCTTTCAGGCACAGGGGTGGAATAAAGACAGACAAGTTGGGCCTCAAGTGGTAGGGGCAGCAGAGATCCTCGCTGCTGCCTAACTCCACCAATTCCTATGGAGCAGTCAGACAAGTTCCCACTCGCTGCCTCCTGCTGGCTCTTATGCATTTAACATGTGAAAGACCCTCAGTGTTTCACAGGACTTTCCCCTGTGGGCTGGGGAATATGTCAGGCCCCTGTCCTGGCCCCTGCTCCTGCCCCAGGGGACCCAGGCCCCTCAGGCCCACGCATTAATCCTACTCTGCTCTGAATTTTCTTTAGTTCAAACTAAGCATATCTCAACCTTTTGTTGCATAGCTTGCCCTCCAAATCCTTCATCATTGTTATTGCCTGCCCCTGAACCCTTTCCAGCTTCTCTAAATCTGTCTTAAAATGTCAAGTCCACATCTAAACATAATACTGTACCCAAAGCCTAGCCAGGGCCAAGTAGATTGGTGTGATTATCTCCCATATCTTAGATATAATATCACTGGTGCAGCACAGAATATATTTTGCTTATTTATTTATCTATTTATTTATTTATTTGTAATTGCATCACATGTAATTGCCTTGTATTGAGTTTATAATTCACATAAAACTCCATATCTTTCTCAGCAAAACTATTGCCCAGCCTGTTCTCTCCTATTCTGCATTTGTGCATTTGGTAAATCTTCCTTTATTCCATCTTTAGTTGCTTTTTTTAATGATCTTGAAGCACCCAATATGTAACATTGTGACCTTTGGACAACCCTCTTTCAATGCACAGGACAGTCCAGTATCATTCTCCCTAACACTAGGGCTATTCCATCCATTTCTTCATGACTGAGTCAGTGACATTCTTACGTTTCCCTTGCTCCTCTCTCAGGCATCTAATATTCCTTAGTAGCAAGGAAGGGGATCTCCGGCTATTGTGCAGGGAGTGAAAAGGTGGATAATGTGACTACCATAGAACATGAACTGAAAGAACTGATCCTGGGAGCAGGAACTAGCCCTTTGGTCCTCACAGATTTTGTCCAAATATTTTCTGTAATTGGTTTCTCATTTCAGGAATGTATGCACAATTGTAAAGGAATTTTTGTCATCTCTTTCTACACTGTATCTAAGCAAGTTTTAAGGAAAATGAGATAAGCAAATTAGTAAGTTCTCTGAGCATTAGTTGACAAAGACTAGGAATGAAAGATGATGTAAGGTGTAACTGAAGACAGATCAGCAATGAACTTGAGTGTTCCACATTTTTCTGGTGGAACATAACTCTTTTGACTCTCCTAACATCAACATCTCTTTGCAGATGACAGAATTCCTCCAAATTCCAACCACTATTAGTTTAATAGATGATTCTCATCCCCAGGATCCCATTCAATGATTATAAAAACAGAAAGAGCCATTGTAAACATCTGAGTTACCATCCTGTATAACACATGCCATAGGACTTTCTTTTTTGAGTTAGAGCACACTTTTAGAATAGCATCCAAATTTAATTTTAAAATTGACAGTGATGATGAATCTACCATAAACCTTGGGGAATCATAACAGTAAATAACCCTGAAAGAGTTGAAATACATACCATATTTCTAGTCTGATTTTGTTTGGCTTCAATTTCTAGCGATGGATCTTGTTATACTTTTGTCTGCTATACTGTAAAACTTATTATTAAAGTTCTGTTCTCCATGTAAGTATCTACAGGCCACTCATTAATCATCTCCTTGATACATTTAAAAATGGGTTCCTTGGGTTTTTCACTATAAGACTTGTTTTCCAGACCTTTACTAATTTTTGTGTCTTTTCTTTGAACCCTCTCCAATATGTCAACATCTTTTATAAATTGTAGACATCAGAATTGGACGCAAGATTCCAGAAATGGTTACAGCATCATCAAACAAAGATTAAATAAAATCTTCCTTCTCCTGCTAGAGATTATCCTGTTTATACATCCAAGGATTGTATTAGTTCTTTTTGTCCACAACATCACACTGTAAACTTATGTTCAGATGCTTATCTATGACCCCCAAGTCCTTTTCAGGGTCCACTGCTTCCCATGATAGAGTTCCCCATTCAGTAATCATGACCTCTGTTCTTTGGTTCTAACTGTATGACTATAAATGACCATGAGTTGCCAATGTGACACGATAATAAGTAAGGCTAACTGCATGCTTACTTGCATTAGTAGGTGCATTAAAAGCAGGTCTAGAGAGGTGATACTTCCCCTCTATGCGGCATTGGTGAGACTATGGCTAGAGTACCACATCCAGTTTCGGGCACTGTACTTCAAGAGAGATGTGGATAACATTGAGAAGGTTCAGCGAAGGGCTACTCGTATAGTTGACAGCCTGCAGGTAAGATCCTATGAAGACAGACTGAGGGACCTGAATCTCTTCTGCCTACACAGGAGAAGGCTGAGAGGTGATCTTGTAGCTGTCTACAAACTCATTCGGGTGGGGAAGGGGGGTCAGCAGGGAATAGGGGATACTCTGTTTACCAGGGTGCCATTCAAGGTTACTAGAAATAATAGCCACAAACTGGAGGAGAGTAGATTTAGATTGGACATCAGGAAGAAATTTTATACAGCAAGTGTTGCCAAAATATAGAATGGGCTTCCAAGGGAAGTGGTGCTTTCCCCTACCTTGGGGGCGTTCAAGAAGAGATTAGACAAGCACCTAGCTGGGTTTACTCTTTCCTGCCTAGACCAGGGGATTGGACTCGATGATCTATAAGGTCCCTTCCGACCCTAGAAATCTATGAAATACTGTATTAAATAAGTGTAGTGTTTGCTTGTGCCCAGCTGACCAAACAGTCTGGATTACTCTGTATCATCAAGTTGTCTTCATTACTTCTGCGTTGCAAATTTTATCAGTGATGATTTCTGTTTCCTTCAAGATCATTTTTCTCAGAAAAAAAGTTAAATTTCATAACACTATGATTTGATCCCTAATGATGATCAAATATAATGATGATGATGATGATGATGATAAAGTTCTGTTTATAATTACTATCAAATAGCCAGTTTTTAATCATGTACCATGTTGATTTTGTATTTGTCTAGTTTCTTAATCAGATGTCATAGGGTACAAGGTCAAACATTTACAGAAGCCTAAGAATACATCAGTATAATTTCCTTTGTCAACCAAATGTATAATCCCATCAAAGAAGAATATCAAGTTATTTTGTTCAGGTTTATTTTCCACAAACTCATGTTGATTCACATTAATATTATTTCCCTCCTTCAGTTCCTTGTTAATGAAGTCCAATATCAATGATTGAATTATTTGACCAAGAATTAATGATAGGAAGTGGAGCCTCTGATCTTAGTCATTTCATTTATCCTCTTTAAATAAGAGCACAATCTTAGCCTCTTTCTAGTCCTTGGGAATTTTCCCATTACTTATGAGTTACTGGGCAGGTCTACACAAGATGCTTTCCTCAAGATTAACACAAATTACTGAGCAGTAAGAGTCATGGTCTACACATGCAAACACATACTGTGCAGTAAATTTCTCTGTTCGTGAGTACATTTGCTACCTGTAAATACAAGTAGCAAATTTATTCTCTGTTACTTACTGGGCACAGCTACACAAGACACTACATCGCCCTGGCATCGGTAAAGATAGTACTAAAGGATTGTTCAGTAAAAACTGTGCAGTCGGGTGCACATGTAGACGTGCCCACTGCATAATAGTGCACATGTAGACACTGAGCAGAAGCAAATTTGCTCTTGGTCAGCCCCACCACCAGGGGCTACCTACTGCCCACCCCAGATTCCCGGAGCTGGGAGCTTCTCCAGCCCCAGGGATGGGGCAGTTGTGTGCCTTCCTCAGCCCCTGGTCCTTAAAAGCCTGCAGGGATACCAGGGCCCTGGGCCACGTACAGCCAGACACTGGCTACTGCATATCCCTGCAGATGCCCAAGGCCAGCTGTAGCAACATGGCCACACACCAGCACCACTCCCTAGCACCTCATCACCACGCAGCTGCTAGGCCCATGCTGTGGGCACTGCAGGCAACTTCCAAGCCTACCAGCACCCTGGCCCATGTGCAGCCAGCCTCTGGCCACCTGGTCCCACTCCAGCTGCCCCCAGGCCACCAGCAACAGGCTTCCCAGACCCGACCACTGGTGCCTGGCACCATATAACCCTGAAGCTGCCAGGCCAGCACTATGCCTTTGCACTGGGAGCTGCACACACCTGCTCAAGCCCACTAACAATGGGACTTCCATGCGGAGGCCCAGGGAGTCATCAAGGGAGCTACACTGAAGCCCTCCCCAATGCCACATGTCACTTTCTGGAGCCCCAACTGCAGGGATAGGATGTCATAATGTGGGGAGAGGCTGAGGTCCTCAGCCAGTTTGTGTGAAGCGGGTGTTCCAACATGTACATCTATGACAGTCTGTCAGGCCACATGAGGGAGCGCAGGAATGACTGGTTGGTACACCAGTACTGCATTATGGTCAAGGCCTTGTGGATACAATGGGTCACCATCACCGACCACAACCACTGATCAGGGGCTGCCTGAAAGTCCATGCCATTTATGTGGCAGCTGGTTGACATCTTTGTGCCCCAGGACCCCAGCCTAAGCCACACTCTCTACTCCAGCACGGATGGTTTGCTGGAGTCTCCACTGTGGCCTGGCACCCATGGTGACATGTCACCAGGTGAGGGCCCCTCAGGCTGCCAGGAGCCTGTCCCCCCATGCTCCCCACCTCGGCCTCCTCCAGCAGCTCCAGGATCCCTAGCCAGTGGCTGCCCCATGAGCTCTGCGTCCTCAGTCCCACCCAGGAGGCCAGGCTGGCTATGGCAACTCTGGCCACCAGCAGCTCCAGCTCCATCCCAGAGGCAGTCCCTTCCTGGGCAGCCAGATACCATACCCCTGCACCCTAGGACACCGCTGAGAGCCACACATCCTCACCACCAACAGGGACTGACTCAGGCCACTGGGCATGACTGCCATGCCTATCTGGTAAGCCCTGCTATGAGGGGGGGCACTCCTCCCCCTGCCCCTTCCCCAGCTCCCCTCCTGGCTTACCTGTGCTCCCCTAGGCCTCCAGAATCCCCACCACAGCACACAGGTGCGTGGGAAACACTGCAAAACTTTATTGAGCAGCCTGTACCCCCTCATCTAGGTGGATACTTGGAATGTGTCAATGCTGGCAGTGATGTCATCCTTGGCTGTAGGTGCAGGGACTTGTAATGCAGCCACAGGTAGTGGTGGAGATGGTAGGACTTGGTGGGCTTCCCTCTGGACTGCTGAAGCTCAGGGCCCCATGCCAGGTTCACAGATGCACCTGGGGCACTGTGGCAATCAGCAGCAGCAGTACATGGTGGGTTGGGCACCCCTCAGTCCACACAAACAGCTCCTTATGGTGCACCCAGGACTCTAGCAGTAGGTGCATGCTTGGGGAGCAGAGCCAGTGCAGGTGGAGGGTTGGCCCCATGATGTCTCCCGAGAGAGGCCCCCTATGGAAAGGGTGGTGTGCCAGCAGCTCTGCATCCCAGTCAGTTGAGAACCCCTTGCCCCACACATCTGGGCACCGTGGGCTTGGAGGCAGCATAGGAGACAGGATGGCCTGCAGGAGGAAGTGTGGGGAGTGCCTCTGGAGCTATGGCAGCCAGTGTTGCCAGGCCTGTCCCAGCCTGTGAATGGGGTGGGGAGGCAGGCTGCTTGTAGCCAACACCCAGCAGGTTCCAGCCCCTAGGCACCCCCATCCCACTACCTCCACCCCAGGAGGTCACACACAGGACTACACAGGGTCTGCACAGGGAAGGGGGTATTTTATTGGTGGTGGGTGGGGTGTGTGGTTGAAGGGCCTAGTGGGAAGGGGGGGATTATTTTCTTTAGATGTAAATTGAAGTATCAAATTTGCTACTTGTATTTACACAGCAAATGCACATGTATGAGTTCCCATTAAAAATCATCATTAATGTTCTAGATAGTTCCTTAGCCAGCTTGCCCTTGAAATTTGTGGATGCAAGTTAACAGGACCTGCTAGTTTAAAAATGTCTCAGTTTAATAGCTACTGTATAGATATTGAGGTGCCATTGGAAAAAGAAGTGTGTAATACCACAGGGACAATAAAAAGACTATCATCTGGCTTTTTCTCAAATACCAAACAGAAATATTTATTGAACACTCAGCCTTGATGGTGAGTGATTCTCTACCATAAGCAGCATACTTGATCCAAAAACATTTTTCTGTTGCATGCTATTGATCATTTTTTCAGCTACTTCCCCTTGGCTGCCAATTTTGAGGGACAAATTGTATTTGATGTGTTTGAGAGAGGGTGTCAATCAGTATTTACTGTAGAATAACTGTTGTTATTTGGGGCATTTTATTCTCATAGAGTCCATCCACATATTTGCTTTACTGCAGAGTTGACTATTTAGCTCTGAAGTAAAGTATCACTCTGTACACAAGCACTGGCATTAGGGTGCAGTAAATTAATTAACTCCACTATAAGACATACTATCTTATGGCAGGCCAGCTGTGCTGAAACGCATGTGTAAACAGTGCCAAAGGCTGGTTGGGGCATGAAGGTGCCGAAGTGCGGTAGCTGCCAGACACCCAGCTTCATGGCTCTGCAGATATGGCACCCTTGTGCCCCAGCCAGGCCTTCCACTGCCTGATGCTGCCACCCAGAACCCAAAGACTGTGTCCCCTGTGGTCAGGGGCTGCTTTGCTCCAGTTCAAACTGCTGTGGTCCTGGGTGCACACTGAGTTCAGGAGCAGTTAACTCTGGCATGAACAGCTCCAGAGTTTATTGTCTTGCATTAATTTCACATGTAGATGTACCCAAAGTGATTCAAATGCGATAGAATATTAGGTCATGAGACTGGTGTCCTGAATAGATACTGCACCCAGTTGGGGGTTATGTGCGTGTGTGCATGCATGCGTGCGTGTGTGTGGTGGGAGGAAGTTAAAAACCTCCATGAATATTTGTGTGTTTCCATGAAGTCCTGGTACAGAATACTTCACAGTAAAAAATAAACTGTATTTTATATGAAAACAAATTTATGTCCAATAATTATACATTGAGAATTTCTCTCTCTCTGCAGTGCTACATAATTCATCTTTGACTAGTTTCAGTGAAGATCAATAACAGATTTGAGTGAATTAATGCAGGTGAGTGTCTGTAGCTCAATATCTATAAAATTATAATAGACATCTTAATTATACTATATTGGCTTTTTATAAAGTCTGCTATTTTTTTTCTCGGCATACATATGTTGACCTAATAGGTTTGAATCAAGGTGTGAATTTTCTTTATAGTTTGTCTCATGTTTTTGTTTATTCACCACAATTTAAGATAGTGTCTTATGAGCAAACACATAAACAGATAGACTTCACAATCTCACTAATATTAATTCAAGTTTGTGCAGAGATATACTCTTTTCATTGGTATCTTTTTGGTTCTGGAATACTCACAAGTAATTCAATGTATTGCATTAGTCTACAGCTCCATATGGCTTGATAGAAATGTAAAATCCTATTGTACATATTCTTATCACCATAAGACTACTAATCATTTGTTGTGCTTTTAACTTTTAGGGCTTTCAAAGAATGATGAATAATTATAATTCTCATTTTATAGAATTGTAAACTGAGGTGTACAGAATTGAAGGCAATCAAATTTGGGTGTCTGACATTACGGTATTAGCATTGAATATTTTGGCATTAAAATAAATAGCCTGATTTGCAGAAATACTGATCATTCTCACCTCCCAAAGAACTGTGCCTCCAGGTGCTGTGTCTTCAGCACTGTCTGTGAGCACCTGCCTACTCAAAGTACTTAAAAGATGCCTGGGAAAGGAAATGGAGTGTATTTTTTTGTTTAGGGTCTCTTAGTAGCTGTTCTGAACTGTTTTTGCAACACCAGGATTATTTTATATCTGTCTTCTAGTAGCACTCTGAGGCCTCAGTCAGAATCACACACCTCTGCTAAGCAAACAAATAGCTTGGTTCTTGCCCCCAAATGGTATTCTGCATGTGAGCTGCATGGGATTACATTTTTAGAGTCAAATTTTAGCCCTCCTTAGTCTGCAGCACAAAATCCTGCCAGAACCATATGGGGAGCGTTTACTGGTATTCTGAGTAAATGGAATGGACAGAGCCAGATTCTGATTGCTTTTACATTAGTGTTACTCTGTTGACTTCAGCAGAGTTCATCCTGATTTACATGGTCATATGGGAGAGGAGAAAACGGCTTGGGATGGCTTCATGCCTCCTAAATCATGACTCCTATCCACAATCTGTAGCTCTATTCCCAGAGCGTTTGCAGTCTACATTGAAAAGCCAATGATCCCAGATTGCTCTTCCACAATTCAAAGGGACAGGCTGGGAAGACAGATTTGAGAGGCTAGCTGACAGCTTCAAAGATCCTTATCTTTGGCCTTGTCAGGTAGGAGTAGAAAAGTCCCTATCGGGGCAAAGAGTCTTTATCCAGGACAACAAGGAAAAGAAGGATTATCCTAGCTCAAACACCCTGCCATAAACAGCTCTCAAGAATTTTTTGGCGGGGGAAAGTTGTGTGGGGTGCATTACTAAGCTAGTATTATATTTTATGCTAGTATACAGGAGATAAAGAACAGGATGCTCAAAGGCAGGAAGCAGAGAGCTCATGTTCTCTACTTACACACCTACTTTGTCCCCCATATGTCTACCCTTCCACCCCCAGGCAGGGCATGGAACTGCTTTATACTCCTGCATTTGTCCTCAGCTGCTGATGACAGATTTACAGCATGTTGACATTAACACTGAAAACAAAGGTGAAATATTAAGATCAATTAGGAGTTTGGGATTCAACAAAGAGACATAAAACTGCTATTCAGAGCTACAGCTAGATGGCTTATAAATAGGACTGATAAATAATCCAAGCATAGCCTCTGGTATCCTGAGGTGTTTTAGCATAACAGATCTATCTGTCTGTCTAACTTTTTTATGCTGAGCCCATCACTATGCCATATGAGCACCTTGTGTCATATATCTTCTCCTGTGCTGTGACATCCCTGGCAATACCTAAGTGCTACCAAATGAGTTAAGAATGGAGCAACACTTCCAAGAGAGTCTCTTGCTGTTAGTTTAGCATTGTTTAATGTGAAAAATATCTTCAGAGTGGCTGTTTCTGTTTCAGATAATGGAGCTGTACAGCCCCGCAGCTGACAACTACATCTCTTCCACTTCAGAATACAGAGAG